ATATGGAACCTTGTGGTACAATGTCAGAGAGATCCATACACTTACACACAAGTTATTGTCTGGAAGTTACAAAAATGCTTATTTTTGGCCCCTTTTTGGCCCCTTATTCCTTAACTATTGGTACCATAACCCCCAAAATCAATCCCAACCTTCCTTTTGTGGTATTGAACCTTATGGTATAAAATTTCATAGAGATCCATTCACTTAAACTAAAGTTATAGTGCGAAAACTAATGTGTCTTCGGACGCCGGACGACAACGACGACGACGAGGCCAACGTCATACCAATATACGACCGCAAAATTTTTGCGGTCATATAAAAACAGACCAAAACACAAAAACTCAACTATAACCACTGAACCATGAAAATGAGGTCAAGGTTAAATGACACCTGCCAGTTGGACATGTACACCTTACAGTCCTTCCATACACCGAATATACTAGATCTATTGCTTATAGTGTCTGAGATATGGACTTGACCACCAAAACTTAACCTTGTTCACTGATCCATGAAATGAGGTCGAAGTCAAGTGAAAACTGTCTGACGGGCATGAGGACCTTGCAAGGTGCGCACATACCAAATATAGTTATCCTACTACTTATAATAAGAGAGAATTTAACATTACAAAAAATGTTAACTTTGTTTTCAAGTAGTCACTGAACCATGAAAATGAGGTCAAGGACATTGGACATGTGACTGATGGAAACTTCGTAACATGAGGCATCCATATACAAAGTATGAAGCATCCAGGTCTTCCACCTTCTAAAATATAAAGCTTTTAAGAAGTTAGCTAACGCCGCCGCCGCCGGATCACTATCCCTATGTCGAGCTTTCTGCGACAAAAGTCGCAGGCTCGACAAAAACTTAACATTGACCATGAAAATGAGGTCAAGGTCATATTACACCAGCTAGACAGACAAGAACACATTACAACATCATTCCATACACCAACTATAGTTGACCTATTGCTTACAGTACCTGAAAAACAGACCAAAATACAAAAATTAACAATGACCAATGAACCATGAAAATGAGGTCAAGGTCAGATGAAACCTGCTAGCCTGATATGTACCCCTTATAATCATTCCATACACCACATATAGTTGACCTTCTGCTTGTAGTATCTGAAAAACGGACCTAATCACGTAACTTTAAACTTGATCACTGATCCAGGAATTGAAAGTTGCAGGCAAGACAAAAATTGGGCATGTCAAGTTTGTTTCATATTGGAGGCAATTTCAGAGATTGTAGAGTTCAATAGAATTTAAATGGAAACTTTATATGTACCACCATTGTTACTATGTTTGCAACCTGATTAAATCAAATGTCTATTGTTTGCTTGTAGAGAGTTTTCCAATCATCATTCGTGGCATGTTTCAAAACATTTTGAGTAATTTAAAATAGATTTTTGATGATTTTCCATTTTGAAGCCATTTTTTTTCTTATTTGAAAAAAATCAGGTTCATTATTAGAGGATTGTCCATACACCATTTCAATTTAGCTTTTGGTGTGCATTTGCCAAGTAGTTTAGGAGAAGATGGAAATGTAATTGTCCAGGGGTTTCAATGGTAATTATGTGCCACCAATGCCACCATGATTGCCACTAGATTGAAATAAAAGCATGATTTTTTTTATTACACCGAGATAAGTCTAGATAGGTCAGAAAAGGGGGGGGCATATCCGCTAGTGTCCCGCTAGCACATTTATGAGTCAGGCACAGAAACAAATAATTAATAAGAATGCAAACAGATCAAAACCAGTACTAAATCATCTCAGAAAATATAAGTATTGATGCAAACAGAGCAACACAAGCACTTTGAAAGTTTACATTTTTGGCAACTGACCAATGATTTTGACTCCAGGTATTAATTCAGGCCTTCATGATCTACAAAAACATAGATTATAATGTTCAATTTCATTAAATTACGAGCACTTTATTAATCTTTTATGTATTAATTCTGTCCACCTTTTTCAAAAATTGGGACTGATCAATAGTTTTTGACACCAGAATCAATTTGGAATATCATAGCACAAAAAGAGGTGTGTCCAATTTTTCATTTTTAAACAAAAAGAGTTCACGGCAAATTCGTTTCCATTGTTAATGAAAGTAATACATCATCTACATATGAAAAAAGCATCTGCATAAATTCATAAATTGAGATGGATTATGTCTTAAAATTTTTTTAAGAAAACTACGTTTTTACCAAAATTAATTTTTCAATTTTTCATATTCAAATTATTAAAAATTTTCTTATAGATACTATCTTTTGATTGTAAGAAGCTTCTGTCAAAGTTTGGTAAAAATCCAGAATGGTTTATAAATCTAATAAATGTTTTAAAAACTTTAACTAAAGACTGTATATAATGTTAACTGGAAGAAAAACTAAGTCCATTTATTAGTAATATATGGAAAAACAGGAAATATATTTTTGCAAAATTTCCTTGTAGATACTAGCTTTTGATCATAAACAAGCTTCTGTCCAAGTTTGGTACAAATCCAGAATAGTTTAAGAAAGTTATTAAAATTTTAAAAACTTTAACCACAGAGTGAATGTAATGTTAACTGGTAGAAAAACTAAGTCCATTTATAAGTAAAATACGGAAAAACAGGAAATATATTTTTACAAAATTTACTTCTGGATACTATCTTATGATCATAAACAAGCTTCTGTCCAAGTTTGGTAGAAATCCAGGATAGTTTAAGAAAGTTATTAAAATTTCAAAAACTTTAACCACAGAGTGAATATTTGTGGACGCCGCCAACGACCGAATGTAGGATTGCTAGGTCTCGCATTTGCGACAAAAATCGCAGGCTCGACAAAAATGTTGGACAGACATAGATTGACAAAGTGAAAATTATAGAGCTCCCGCATCCTTGATACAACGCCCTTATTTATTTCGTAAAACTTAATTCCCCCTTCGCTTTGGCCCTGGTATCATCCCGAGACTCCCATATTAGCCCGAGGCTTAAGCCGAGGGACAATATGGGTCAAGGGATGATACCAGGGCCAATATGGAAAAGACATGTTATAATATATTTATTACATATTTAAGTTCTGCAGAAAAGAGAAAAACGTTCAATTATAACTATTTGATTAACCACAACAAGTAAATTCTAAAAAGATTTATCACATTTTCCATCAATTTTTTTCATTCACTGCAAACAAATTTATTGTAAAATTTCCCTTTATTTTTGAATATGGTAATACACAAAAGCGAGAATTTTGCATAACTGGGGCTAAATCGATAATAGTTGGTTGGACATTGTTACTAGTGGCCATTGTAGCAGAGTTATCATAATTTTCAATACAAACACTGTCATTGTTCGCTATTGCTGTTAAGGACGCAATGATGTCACGTCATTTGGAATCGGGGCACAATAACCAATAACCACTTTTTTGCCCAGGGCAGCAATATGAGTAGGACAATTTTGTGGTTATTACATATGCAAAATCCCCAATGTTTTCGTAACAAATATGTGATCATAGTCAATATTAACCTGCTTTTCCTCTGAAAACTGTTTATCTTTACTTACAGGCCCAGAGGACCTAGAGAATATTATGAGAGATGAATGTATATTTCACTATTGGGTGTTCAATATGCTTCAAGACTTCGTTTATTGTATATATAATCAACTTCTTTTAAATTAACCTATAACCAATTTTACCAAACAAATAATTTTATATAACATGTACATGTCTAAAGCAAAGTAAGCATACATGTTACAGGGGTGGATCCAGCCATTTATAAAAGGGGGGTTCCTAACCCAGTATAAAGCGGGGTTCCAACTATATGTCCACATTCAAATGCATTGATCGTCCAAAAAAGGGGGGGTTCCAACCTGTTTTCAAAGTTTACTATACATAACTTAAATAATTCACATATCAAACAATTACAGATAATTATATTTCTCATACAAATTATTTCATAAAAAGTAAGCATTTAATAATTTTATTGTGTTTTCATTTCAATTTTGATCTACAATTACAATTGCAGCTGAAACTGGAACAAAAAAATGGCTGGTTTGCTTTTTAAAATAAAATTACTTGTTTTATCTACAGAGAACATAAAAAAACACATGGCCTAATGGCTGTAACAGATGGCCCGAGAACACATTTATTTCGTAGTGCATTTTTTTTTAGTTAAAACGCTTCTTAAAAGGTCTTTAAAAAAAATGCACCTGCTGTATTCAAAAAAGGTGTTTATAGTGTAGCATACCTGTCAACCTATGACAATGAAAATGCAGGTCATGACCTGAATAGAAGAATGAAATCTCAGGTCATAACGCATACAAACTTTTTTGAGCTGAATTTCAGTATTTAAGGGACATTTTTCTTATAATTTATATCAAAGTTTCCAAAACATGTCCACATGGTTATGTAATTTAAAATTGTACATTTATTTATTTCATTGCACTTGAAGGCCATTGATAGATTTGTGTTACATTGCCTTAATTTCTTTTCATATTCCATGATATACATTGTGCCAACTTGTGTTTTCTTTACATAAATTTGTGCAGCTTTTAATCAGTAGAACATATCATATGTTGATATTATGTTGTGTGTACTACTTTGGGACAAATTATATCAAAATTATAGAAAAGTCGATCTCTTATAACTCAAATATGGACGAATTTGTGTTAAGGGGGTTTATAATTCAGTTTGACAGCTTCATGCAGACATACTAATTTTTGACCTTTTCAAACTGGACCAATTCACTACTTTATCTTAAAATTCATGCCCCAAATTTTTTTTTCATGTAATGTCATCCCCCTTCATCCTATTTTATGCATAAAATAGAATAGAAAGAAATTTGGAAGAAGCATGAAAAAAATTGGCAAGTTATACACTGTCCACACTAGGGAATCTATTGTCCCTGGACCAGACAGGGTAAATGAATATTAGGCATAAATTTGTACCATGCATGCAATTATATAAAATTATGAGAAAATCACAATGTATAATCTATAAATAATTATGCAAGAAAAGTCAATAACTCACCATACTTAGTAATCTGTTCTGTCAGAGTTAAAAATGACAGTGATACAGTCAGATTAAATATCCAATTGAATGATGTAGAAATTGCTGTACATGTACTTCTTGCCCACAATGGATATATTTCTGAATTGATAGTCCATGGCATTGGACCCATACCTAAGATAAAAATATTGTTGACTTCTTAAAATAACTCTTTTAAACAATCAAATATCCTAGTTTAAGTTAGTATAGTAAGTTAAGGCTTTTTAGAGTCAATTTAGGCAATAATACTCACGTTTTTGGAAAATATCTACTTTTTGCAATAATAGACTTACATTTGACACTGAGATATGTCTTGCTTTTTGTGTAATTTTGATAGTACATGTATATGCAAATGTTGAAATTAAAATTGCAAAACTTAAACATGTAAATTATGCAAAATATGCAAAGTCAATGAACCATGCAGGGCCAAATAACCACCATGGAAATGAGAAATGCACATGCTTATAAAATTGCATACCAAATACCATTGACTTATCATAAGTGGTTTCCTTTTATCTAACATAAACACAAACTTTAACTTGTAAACTATGCATAAGTTTTAAAGTCAATGAACCATGATGATAGTACAGGACTATATATTCTTCATGGAAATGAGACTTGCAAATGCTTATACAACTGCCTACCAAATATTATTGACTTAACATTAGTGGTTTATTCTCAGAAAACCTTTTCCTGTGTTTCAAAATTTATTCAGTAAACATACAAAGGCATTGGTTTAAATAAAAACTACAATATACCCATACATCAAATCACAACATTCAAAAGCTGGCTTGCCTCACCTGAGTAGGATACACAAAACAGCAACCTAATGCCATCAAAGTTCAATATTACTATTGTCCCTATAAACTAAGCAGATTCACTCACAAGTAAAAAGCTACCACTGCCAACTGATGCTCACCAAAATGCACATTAATATTGAGAGAAACAATTTTTTTTTCCAGGGTTCAAAATACTAGTTAGTGTGTTGGAGGGACAAATAGCAAATGAATAAACATGTACTAATTGCTAATTTTTCAGCTGTATAAATGTATCAGTAGTAAGTGGTTCATAACTGACATGATTTATAACATAATTTTCAATAATTACCCGTCGATAAATTATAAAAATTATTCAGAAACAAAGTTTAAACTCCCTCATGCAAAGTTGATCTTAATGATTATGGCTACTCTTTTAAGTATAAAATAAGGAGATTTGGTATCATTGCAATTGAAACAAGTATCCACTGTTGACCAAATTCTTAGGTTTGAGCATTCATGAAGAAGGTAAATTCAGCTTAGGATGCACACAATTTTTAAAGTTATTTTCATTTACTAGCATACTAGATTTTGGTCATAAATCTATGTTTCTTCATATTCATACAAAGGGCTTTCACATGTTAAGGCTTGAACATTCCTGATGAAGGTTAAACCAGCTAGTGCTTCAAACACACAAAATTTATAAATATTTTTTTTTTAGGATTCTTCCCCTTACATATCTTCATCTGTGAAAGTTTTATTCAAATCAAGCAAGGGATAATCAAGTCTTATCTGGAAACCATTTGTTTCTGACATATAGACTGAATGACGAACGTATAAAGCAATAGCTATACATGTAACATGTTTCCTAATTATTTTGGAGAGCCTTATAAAATCTGTAGTGGAAATTCAAGTTCAATCTCCTATTAAACTACACTTTATTACAAACAATTCCAATAAAATGCTCAAGGAAATTTAATGAAATATGAAAATAAAGGGATATGAACAGATTATTTTGTTGGAATGTAGTATGTTAGGTCTTATTTCATAAGTGAGCATCAGCACAACCATTAACATGTTTAAGGTAGCACAACAGTTTATTTATTGGAAATACAACTGTTTATGCTTGAAATGCTGTATCTTTGTTATCAGTTGAGATATAAAGACAGAATGTGTTATCTGTTGAGATATAAAGAGAGAAGAGGTACACATTTGTTGTAATTTCTTTTTTCAATAACCATCAACAACGAAATATTCTTTCATAAGCAAAGGATACAAGCTCAAAAACTGTGTCTCAGATATTCAATAGCAAGTTCTATTTCGGATTAATTGCTGGATCTATTTTAGTTCCATTAACCTAATAATCGCCAATATTCAAATTGTATAAAAATAAGGAGATGTCATATGATTGCCAAGAGACAACTATCCACCAGAGTTTAAATAAGTGGATATAAGCAATTATAGGTCACTGTACGGCCTTCAACAATGTGAATAAACTGCTTCGCTGAGCACAGCTTGAAACGCCCGCAGAGGTCCAACCCTGAACAGTTGGAGCAAAAATGTACACAATATTCAAGCTTGATACGTCAGGTCTGAATTTGGATTGTAATTAAATATTTGACATATTATAGGTTTCTGAATAAATGTAGTCAAAGAACTTGAAATTGGTTATATGAATTGAATTTATATTCAATTAAAGATTTCTTGCTGTTGTGCAATACTTAGTAAATCTGTTGTCAGACTATCAACAAATAAAGTTCAATAACTTCTCAATGTTATATCAGAAATTTATAAAAATAATAAACTGTTATCACAGAGATATGTCTCGCCTTTTTGTAATTTTGATAATGCAAATGTTGAAATTAAAATAGCAATACTTTAACATGTAAGTTATGCAAATATTCAAAGTTGATGAACCATGACTGAAGGTACATGGCTAAACAATCTCCATGGAATGAGATGTGCCAATGCTAATACAACTGCATACCAAATACGATTGACCTATTATAAGTTGTTCCCTTTAAACAAACCTAAACACAAACATTAACTTGTAAACTATGTAAAAGTTTCAAAGTCAATGAACCATGATCAGGGGTGGGGCTATATAATCTCCATGGAAACAATACTTGCAAATGCCAATAAATTTGCATACTAAATATCATTAACTTAACATTAGCAGTTCATCTTAAACTGATCTAATCACAAACTATTACATGTAAACTAAGCAAAAGTTTCAAAGTAAATAGACCATGACTGAGGGAGCGGGGCCAAATATTCTCCATGGAAATAAGATGTGCCAATGCTTATACAACTGAACACTAATTAGCATTGGCCTACCACTAATGGTTCCCCTTGAACTGACATAACCACAAACTAATACATGTAAACTATGAAAAGTTTCAAAGTCAATAGACCTTGACTGAGGGGGCGGGGCCAAATAATCTCCATGGTAATGAGATGTTCCAATGCTAATACAACTGCATACCAAATATCATTGACCTACCACTAGTGGTTCACCATGAACTAGACCTAATCACAAACTAATACATTGTTGACGCAAATCTGAACCCCTAACAGGATCATGTAAAAATTAAACATTAACACACACAACAAAAATAAAATACCACATAACATTGTCAACTGTGACATCTACCTTAATAACGCACATGACTTAAAAATAAGTTATAAAGAAACATCAGATATGATTCATGATTAATAATTCTCTAAAATAAGATATGATGTAACACAATGTATATCTATTTTCAAATTATAGTCAAATATAATTAATAGTTCCAAATATTTTTCTTTCATTTATCACAAACTAATACAGGCCTGCAACCTATCAATGTCAACAACTTTAAATGTAATGAAATATATCCTATAATAAAAATAGATTATTATCAAATTAAAGTAGTTCATTTCATAAAAAAATATATAAAGCATACAGAAAATTAGTTTTTACAGAATAACAAACCAACCTACCACAAAATTCTTCAAAAAATTTACCAAAGAAAAGAAAAAAATATATAGCATTTAGAAAATTCGTTTTTACATAATAACAAACAAACCTACCACAAAATTTTTCAAACAATTTACCAAAGAAAAAGAAAAAAATTCACAAAATTTTATTTATCATTAATACAATGACTTTTAAAAATCTATAAAACTTATCTGTAATTATCTTCAAAATGTCTAATAATGAACAGTAAATTTCTAACTTTATTTATACAGTCCTATATAGCTTATAATCATTAACACTTAGAAAACAGAGAATTTTCAAATAAATCTGTCAATCCAATTATAATTGTGTGAGACATTTACCAGATGCTCTTATCTATCAAGAGGTGAAAATTAGTCATGTTAGAAATTTATCCTGTTGAATTTACTTTAAATAAAGCTAATACTAACAATGACCACTGTCCTTTCCTCCATCTTGATATCTATATCATGAACGGGAAGCTTAATACAAAAATTTATGACAAAAGAGATGATTTTTCATTTCCTATCGTTAATTATCCATTTTTAGATGGTGACGTTCCCTTGTCACCATCTTATGGTGTTTATATATCTCAACTTGTATGATTCGCTCGTGTATGTAACAACGTATTAGATTTTAGCAAGAGAAATTTATGTATTACTGAAAAATTATTACACCAGGGTTTTCGATATCATAAACTAGTCAAAACATTTACTAAATTTTATCATCGGTATAAGGACATCATTCGTAAATATAACTCAACATGCAGACATCTTATAGTTCGGGTATTTCACATCCAATCTTTTATGGTAATATTCTTTACAAAGCACAAAAATGTCAATATTCACCTCAAAAGCTAACAAAACCTTTAAACAGACTTATTAAGAAGGGATATAGTTACGATACTGTTGTCAGGTCATTAAAGATTGCATATTTTGGCTTTAATATTGATTCACTTATAGGGTCTTTGCATCGGAATTAAACACATTTATTCCAAAAAAACAGTTGTTGGCATGATACGGGTTATGTTCTTCTCATATATTTTATGATGGTATGATACTAAACCCCTAACGGGAGGGATTGTACTTGATTTTCATATGATAAAGACATAATCTTCCAATCAGTTTAATTGAGTTCTGGAGCTGGCATGTCAGTAACTGCTAGTAGTCCTTTGTTCATTTATGTATTATTGTCATTTTGTTTATTTTCTTTTGTTTCCTATTCTGACATCGGACTCGGACTTCTCTTAAACTGAGTTTTACTGTGCGTACTGTTGTACGTTTTTTTTTTCTACATTGGCTAGAGGTATAGGGGGAGGGTTGAGATCTCAAAAAACATGTTTAACCCCGCCGCATTTTTGCGCCTGTCCCAAGTCAGGAGCCTCTGGCCTTTGTTAGTCTTGTATCATTTTTAATTTTAGTTTCTTGTGTATAATTTGGAGTTTAGTATGACGTCCATTATCACTGAACTAGTATACATATTTGTTTAGGGGCCAGCTGAAGGACGCCTCCGGGTGCGGGAGTTTCTCGCTGCATTGTAGACCCATTGGTGGCCTTCGGCTGTTGTCTGCTCTATGGTCGGGTTGTTGTCTCTTTGACACATTCCCCATTTCCATTCTCAATTTTATAGTGTAATTAAACTTCATATATATAATTAACCATTTCTGTTCAAAGAGAAATAACTCAATCACATTGAAAATACCACTTTTGGATATTAAAAAGGGCAATAACTCAACAAGGAGAAAAGCTAAAATCGTGAAAATTGAACTTGACCTTCATTTAGTCACAGGTAACAACATATCCAAATTTGAAAAAAAAATTGTCAAAGCATTTTCATGTTATTGAGGAGACACTGTTTGGCAGCCGCCTGTCTGCCCACCCGCTGTACATCCCCAAATCAATGACTGATATTTCCTTTCGAAAATCTGGTTAAAAATGAAAAGAAATGTTTTCAAAATTTTACTCTGGATACTGTATTTTGGTCATAAACAAGCTTCTGTCCAAATTTCATAAATGTCCATGAAGGTTAGACAAAGTCATTGATGTCTAAAAAAACTTTAACCACAGACTGAACCTTAATGTTGTCACCGCCGACAACGGAATCTAGGATCGCTATGTCTCACTTTCGCGAAATAAATTTTGCAGGCTAAACAAAAATGCATTTATTGTATAATTGTTTGTTTTGCATTTTTCATAACATATTTTCCTGTTTCCTAATATTTGTTTTTTATCCCACTTTGTTATGTTTTTCACTGAAAACGTACCATTTAGGTGTATTTTCAGGAATTTGCAGAGTGACGTAGAAATGCCTTGTGATTACATTACGGAAAGGCATGCGATAATAATTGGAAGCAGTTAATAAATATTTCTTATCAGCCCGCTAAGCACCATTGCAGAAAATATGCAATTCACTCAAATTTAATCCTATTACTATACTGTAAAAATTATAAGTTATTAATTATAAGTATATGATAAATGCATTAATTATATACTTAGTAGTGAATATATTTAAATTGTATGTGTAATACAATTGATGACAATTGTGCTGTATCAGCCATCCATGATGATATCGATATCAGTCACGGTTGCAAAGGCTTTATCAAACCCCTAATCTATATGATGTCACGTAATCCATATCAGTCACGGTTACAAAAGCTTTATCAAATCCCTAATATATATTACGTCATGCTTCGTGAAAAATACATAAGAGAGATTAGTTGTACTTGAGGTACATGTATATAATAAAGTGTATATGACATGGCTTTTTCATTATCACACACTGTATCAACCCTCAACCAATATAATCCCTCGAGCAGAGCTCTTGGGCTTATATTGGTGTCTATATAGCTAGGGTTGATACAGGTGTGATATTGAAAAAACCATATGATATACTCTATTTACAAGAAAGAACAATATTTTTGTTCTTTCCAGTGATCACATTTGTCAAACTTCCCTTGTGATGCATTAATTTTCCAGCACTTCGTTAATGCAACTGCACTAGTGCAAATTTGTTATCTTAAATTTTAATTTTATTTTGAATCAAACGCATCCAAAGTGGAAATTTTTTACTCAAAGTAAAATTGGTAATGGGAATAACTTCCATTGTTCAAATCATAAGTGACATTTTAATTTTATTGGTGGCCTTAGGAACAGAGCCTATATATATTCCTGTATGGGTACATTTAGTATCATATAACAAATACTAAAAAAACTGAAATGCAAATAAAAGTATCTGATGAAAAAAAAGATAATAAATACTTCTGAAAAAAACCCAAAAAATCACAAAAACTGTGAGCACTCCATACATTTTTTTGAAAGATTAAAGGTGTATAAATCAAAGTGAACCAATGCCTGTAAATCTTTAATACAATAGAAATCTTAAATGGATACCACAGGTATGCTAAGATATTAAGATAAAACACATAAGATAGAAAGACTTACTGACTAGAAAATTAGGTATTTATTCAACTTAAAAAAAACAACAACTATAGTTTCAGTCATTTGAAACTGTAATAAAAATTTGGGTAAAAATTCCTTTATACAGCAGGTCTGCGGGACACTCTCCAAATACAATTGCTGGAAGGAAATGTTTTGTCTCATATTAGATACTAGAAAACCTCCTAAAAACTGAAAAAAAGATTTCAGATTGCAGTTTACAGTGAATCAAAGCAGATTAATTCTGAAGTAATCAATTCAAATGAGTAAAACAATTATAAATATAACTATTATTACATGCACTTATCTTTCTTTTAAACAATTTACCTGGAGCAAAAGCCATTAAATAAATAATGAGTCCTATCAGACCAAAAATGGAATATGGTGATGGACAGTAGTTCTCAGCCCATACTAGGTTAATTTGGAGTTTAGTACTATTACAACGTCCTTCTGATGACATAGAAGGATCCGTATATGGTAGACACGAACCATTCTCTGCTGAATAAGTGCTCTTTTCTATATAACAAAATCCACATTGCAAACTATCTGTACAAGATTCACAAGACCTATAAAATAATATCAAGTAGTTTACAGAATATGTCAAAAGGGTATTTGTTTTCAAAATATCAAGAAAGTAAAAGAAAACCATTCCACTATAACCAATTACATTTTTATGAAGGACCTCATTGGCTAAGTGATCTAAGTACTAACTGATAATTTTTCAGTGATCCCTACCTGTTAACTCTGCAGTTGTGAGTTTGAACCCTGCTCATGGCGAGTTGTGTTTGACTTCAATCTTAATTGACAAGGATTGCCAGTTTTCCTTACAAATTAGGTCAGTGGTTCTCTCCAGCTATCAATTTAAAAATAAAATGCTCCGCTGGGGCGCAGCTTGATACGACCGCAGAGGTCAAACCCTGAACAGTTGGGGCAAGTATGGACACAACATTCAAGCTTGATACAGCACTGAATTTGGATTGTAATTAAATATTTGACACAGCATAGGTTTCTGACACAGAATGAAAGTGGTCTAAGAACTTATAATTTTTTAATTTACCTATTCATACATGTGATGGACTGTGAAACTCAGATCAGGAGATTGGGAAATTTTGGTCAGGAGATTAGGACTCAGATCAGGAGGTTTTTAATCGACATAAATTTTGTCGTAAATGTAACCGTGTGCTGTAAAAATGGTCTTTTAAAGTGTGTTTTCTTCAGCTTTCCATCCAATTTATTATGTTTATAGTACCCTTGTACTTATAAAGTTTCTCCATCTATATATTTTACATGTTCAATCTAACATCTGTTTTTTTCAGTATGTTCTTTAAATTTTTTACTTCATTTTCTATAAAACATTTATTGCAACCAGAACATTTGTTTAACTCTCTGCAAACAGCTTTTGTTTGCATACTCAGAAAATCATTCTAGCTGTAAAACAAGGGTCATAGTTATTATATAAATTTCAATTTAAGCCTTGAAAGGAAGTATAGAATCCTCAAATAATTTTCAAATTATTATTTTTTTATTTGTCCTAAGACATTTAAAATCATTTATTTACCATCCTTTTATGATTATTTGTTCAATTTATATTTTATTTATATTCTATTAAAAATTTTCATTATTAAAAGGAAAGTAACTTAAAACAGGATAAATCAAGGGAAGTAACCCAATAAATACACAGTTTTTGTTACACAACGGCAGTTAGCCTGAGGTAAAAAATCATTGATTACCAGTATGTTTGACACCCAAGCTGACAAGTGAAGCCATATAATTATGCATGTTAATTGATTTACAGGTAAAATATAACTTCAGGTAATGTGAGTTACACCAGATGCCTGAGATGATATGTTGGGCAGAAATTTTTCATTCATGAAAAATTTCATACACGGGATTATAATTTTCCTCTTCAACCGGAGGTCGGGAGGAGACTCCTGAAAACAGGATTATTGTACTCCTGTTGGGAGGTTCACATGTATGCTATTCAAACCATATCATTATTATTTGCTTTTATATATAAATCAGAAATAACCAATTAAAAATGGAAAATTTTAAAGAAAAAAAAGGAAAAAAAAATCCCCCCCCCCAAATTTTTTGAACCCCCTTATGATTCATCGCCCCCAAGCTCAATCCCAGCTTTCCCTTTGTGGTATGGTACCTTGCAGTACAATTTTAGAGAGATCCATTCACTTGAACACAAGTTATTGTCTGGAAACTAGAAAAATGCTTGTTTTTTTGTCCCTTTTTGGCCCCTAATTCCTAAACTCTTAGGGCAATTACCCCCAAACTCCAACCCAGCTTTCCCTTTGTGATATGGAACCTTGCAGTACAATTTCATAAAGATCCATACACTTACAAACAAGTTATTGTCCTGAAACTAGAAAAATGCTTGTTTTTTGCCCCTTTTTGGCCCCTAATTCCCAAAATTTGGAGGAAATTACCCCCAAAAATCAATCCCAGTATTCCCTTTGTGATATGGAACCTTGTGATACAATGTCAGAGAGATCCATACACTTACACACAAGTTATTGTCATGAAACTAGAAAAATGCTTGTTTTTTGCCCCTTTTTGGCCCCTAATTCCTAAAATTTGGAGGCAATTACCCCCAAAATCAATCCCAGCATTCCCTTTGTGATATGGAACCTTGTGGTACAATGTCAGAGAGATCCATATACTTACACACAAGTTATGTCTGGAAGTTACAAAAATGCTTATTTTTGGCCCCTTTTTGGCCCCTAATTCCTTAACTGTTAGTACCATAACCCCCAAAATCTATCCCCACCTTCCTTTTGTGATATTGAACCTTATGGTAAAATTTCATTGAGATCCATTCACTTAAACTAAAGTTAGAGTGCGAAAACTAATGTGTATTCGGACGACGACGCCGGACGACGACGACGACGACGACGCCAACGTCATACCAATATACGACCACAAAAATTTTTTTGCGGTCGTATAAAAAATCTGAATAGAAGAAATAGTCGCAATTCTTTAACATTTCAGTATAACTTGTGATTAATTTTTATCGTAAGATTTTTTTGTGAAAAGAGCCCCAGAGTTCCTCTGTCAATAAAAAATGGCAGCCATGATATAGTCAAGTTTGCTGAAGGTAGATTTAATGCCATCAAACAAACAAAACAAACATTTTTATCATCACATTTTTTTGTGCATAATGCTTTTGCAGGTAAAATGCAATAATAAATATAGTTATAAATATATTTATTATATACTTAGTAGTAAATACAGATAAATTGTATATGTAATACAATCATTGGCAAGCGTGCTGTATCAGCCATCCGTGATGATATCGATATCAGCACGGTTGCAAAGGCTTTATCACACCTTTAATCGGTATGACGTCACGTCATCGATTGCAGTCACTGTTGCAAAGGCTTTATCAAAACCCTAATCTGTATGACGTCATGTCAAACCTATAATCTGTATGACGTCATTTCAAACCTCCTTTTCTGTTTGACGTCATATCACATAAAAATAAAATGCTCCGCAGGGCGCAGCTTGATACGACCGCAGAGGTCGAACCCTGAACAGTTGGGGCAAGTATGGACACAACATTCAAGCTTGATACAGCTCTGAATTTGGATTGTGATTAAATATTTGACACAGCATAGGTTTCAGACACAGAATGAATGTGGTCTAAGAACTTAAAAATTTTAAATTGGACATTCACCTATTATGGTCCAATATCCAAAATCTAAATACATGGTTAGATTCAGCATATCAAAGAACCCCAAGAATTCAATTTTTGATGAATTCAAACAAAGTTTAATTTTGGACCCTTTTGATCTCAATGTGGACAAAGTTGATAACGGGGCCCAAAAATCAAAAATCTAAATACATGGTTAGATTCAGCATATCAAAGAACCCCATATATTCAATTTTTGTTGAAATCAAACAAAGTTTAATTTTGGACCCCGATTTGGACCAACTTGAAAACTGGGCCCATAATCAAAAATCTAAACACATGTTTAGATTCAGCATATCAAAGAACCCTAAAAATTCAATTTTTGTTAAAATCAAACTAAGTTTAATTTTGGACCCTTTGGACCTTTATGTAGACCAATTTGAAAACGGAACCAAAAATTAAGAATCTAAATACACGGTTAGATTCGGCATATCAAAGAACCCCAATAATTCAATTTTTGATGAAATCAAACAAAGTTAAATTTTGGACCCTCTGGACCTCAATGTGGACCAATTTAAAAACGGGGCCCAAAATCCAAAAACTTAATACACGGTTAGATTCAGCATATGAAAGAACCTCATATATTCAATTTTTGTTGAAATCAAACAAAGTTTAATTTTGGACCCCGATTTGGACCAACTTGAAAACGGGGCCCATAATCAAAAATCTAAATACATGGTTAGATTCAACATATCAAAGAACCCCATACATTCAATTTTTGTTGAAATCAAACAAAGTTTAATTTTGGACCCCGATTTGGACCAACTTGAAAACTGGGCCCATAATCAAAAATCTAAACACATGTTTAGATTCAGCATATCAAAGAACCCCACATATTCAATTTTTGTTGAAATCAAACTAAGTTTAATTTTGGACCCTTTGGACCTTTATGTAGACCAATTTGAAAACGGAACCAAAAATTAAGAATCTAAATACACGGTTAGATTCGGCATATCAAAGAACCCCAATAATTCAATTTTTGATTGAAATCAAACAAAGATAAATTTTTGACCCTTTGGACCTCAATGTGGACCAATTTAAAAACGGGGCCCAAAATTCAAAAACTTAATACATGGTTAGATTCAGCATATTAAAGAACCCCAAGAATTCAAGAATAAAACCCCATTGAAATTGATCAAGAAATAAGCAATTTATACGAAGTATATTCTTTTGCACAATACTGTGCAATTGAATATTTCTTGCTATTGCGCAATACTGTACAATTGACAATTTCTTGCTATTGCGCAATATTGTGCTATTGGATATTTCTTGCTATTGCGCAATACTGTGCAATTGAAGATTTCTTGCTATTGCGCAATACTGTGCAATTGAAGATTTCTTGCTATTGTGCAATACTGTGCAACTGAAAATTTCTTGCTATTGCACAATACTTATTGTATAATAATTTACACATCCTGTTTGGTGTGTATCTCCTACCATATCATTATTATTTGCTTTTAAATATAAATCAGAAATAACCAACTTAAAATGGAAAATTTTAAAAGAAAAAAAAAAGGAAAAAAAGAAAAAAAAAGAAAAAAAAAAAAATCCCCCCCCCCAAATTTTTTGAACCCCCTTATGATTCATCACCCCCAAACTCAATCCCAGCCTTTCCTTTGTGGTATGGTACCTTGCAGTACAATTTCAGAGAGATCCATACACTTGAACACAAGTTATTGTACGGAAACTAGAAAAATGCTTATTTTTGGCCCCTTTTTGGCCCCCAATTCCTAAACGTTTCGGGCAATTACCCCCAAACTCAATTCCAGCTTACCCTTTGTGATATGGAACCTTGTAGTACAATTTAAGAAATATCCAAACACTTACACACAAGTAATTGTCATGAAACTAGAAAAATGCTTGTTT